TCGTATCTAAAACCGCATCAAAACTGCAAATATCAGTTTAAACTATCATTTTTTGATACAAACAGTTATATATTCATGTCAATATCTTTCAAATTCTAGTCAAAATCGGCGTCTTTGGGCATTTTAGTAACGAAAACCTTAATAAACTATTAGATTTCGACGTAAGGCAACCTTTCTGAGTCAAATAGTTGCCGATTTCGATAAAATCTTAGTCAGAATCTGCTTTTTCGCCTCTTATTGTACCCAAATCTACCTTAGAAATGCAGATATATACTCAGAACACCTTCTTTTGGGACAAATAATTGGTTTTCGCCCTTGATTTACGGAAGATTATAGCCAAAACATGCATTTTCATAACTTAGCGAACTGAAATCTACACTAAAACTGCAGATAACTACTTAAAAATTCACTTCCTTGAATTGATAATAGGTTTTTCTTTGTCATTTTAAACAGATTCCAGTCAAAGTCGGCTTCTTCGACTCATATCGTACCTAAAACCGCATCAAAACTGCAAATATCAGTTTAAACTATCATTTTTTGATACAAACAGTTATATATTCATGTCAATATCTTACAAATTCTAGTCAAAATCGGCGTCTTTGGGCATTTTAGTAACGAAAACCTTAATAAACTATTAGATTTCGACGTAAGGCAACCATTCTGAGTCAAATAGTTGCCGATTTCGATAAAATCTTAGTCAGAATCTGCTTTTTCGCCTCTTATTGTACCCAAATCTACCTTAGAAATGCAGATATATATTCAGAACACCTTCTTTTGGGACAAATAATTGGTTTTCGCCCTTGATTTACGGAAGATTATAGCCAAAACATGCATTTTCATAACTTAGCGAACTGAAATCTACATTAAAACTGCAGATAACTACTTAAAAATTCACTTCCTTGAATTGATAATAGGTTTTTCTTTGTCATTTTAAACAGATTCCAGTCAAAATCGGCTTCTTCGATTCATATCGCATCTAAAACCGCATCAAAACTGCAATTATCAGTTTAAGCTATCATTTTTTGATACAAACAGTTATATATTCATGTCAATATCTTTCAAATTCTAGTCAAAATCGGCGTCTTTGGGCATTTTAGTAACGAAAACCTTAATAAACTATTAGATTTCGACGTAAGGCAACCATTCTGAGTCAAATAGTTGCCGATTTCGATAAAATCTTAGTCAGAATCTGCTTTTTCGCCTCTTATTGTACCCAAATCTACCTTAGAAATGTAGATATATACTTAAAACACCTTCTTTTGGGACAAATAAGTTCGCTTAGTTATGAAAATGCATGTTTTGGCTATAATCTTCCGTAAATCAAGGGCGAAAACCAATTATTTGTCCCAAAAGAAGGTGTTTTAAGTATATATCTGCATTTCTAAGGTAGATTTGGGTACAATGAGAGGCGAAAAAGCAGATTCTGACTAAGATTTTATCGAAATCGGCAACTATTTGACTCAGAATGGTTGCCTTACGTCGAAATCTAATAGTTTATTAAGGTTTTCGTTACTAAAATGCCCAAAGACGCCGATTTTGACTAGAATTTGAAAGATATTGACATGAATATATAACTGTTTGTATCAAAAAATGATAGTTTAAACTGATATTTGCAGTTTTGATGCGGTTTTAGGTACGATATGAGTCGAAGAAGCCGATTTTGATTGGAATCTGTTTAAAATGACAAAGAAAAACCTATTATCAATTCAAGGAAGTGAATTTTTAAGTAGTTATCTGCAGTTTTAATGTATATTTCAGTTCGCTAAGTTATGAAAATGCATGTTTTGGCTATAATCTTCCGTAAATCAAGGGCGAAAACCAATTATTTGTCCCAAAGAAGGTGTTTTAAGTATATATCTACATATCTAAGGTAGATTTGGGTACAATAAGAGGCGAAAAAGCAGATTCTGACTAAGATTTTATCGAAATCGGCAACTATTTGACTCAGAATGGTTGCCTTACGTCGAAATCTAATAGTTTATTAAGGAATTTGAAAGATATTGACATGAATATATAACTGTTTGTATCAAAAAATGATAGATTAAACTGATATTTGCTGTTTTGATGCGGTTTTACGTACGATATGAGTCGAAGAAGCCGATATTGTCTGGAATCTGTTTAAAATGACAAAGAACAACCTATTATCAATTCAAGGAAGTGAATTTTTAAGTAGTTATCTGCAGTTTTAATGTAGATTTCAGTTCGCTAAGTTATGAAAATGCATGTTTTGGCTATAATCTTCCGTAAATCAAGGGCGAAAACCAATTATTTGTCCCAAAAGAAGGTGTTTTAAGTATATATCTGCATTTCTAAGGTAGATTTGGGTACAATAAGAGGCGAAAAAGCAGATTCTGACTAGGATTTTATCGAAATCGGCAACTATTTGACTCAGAAAGGTTGCCTTACGTCGAAATCTAATAGTTTATTAAGGTTTTCGTTACTAAAATGCCCAAAGACGCCGATTTTGACTAGAATTTGATAGATATTGACATGAATATATAACTGTTTGTATCAAAAAATGATAGTTTAAACTGATATTTGCAGTTTTGATGCGGTTTTAGATACGATATGAATCGAAGAAGCCGATTTTGACTGGAATCTGTTTAAAATGACAAAGAAAAACCAATTATCAATTCAAGGAAGTGAATTTCTAAGTAGTTATCTGCAGTTTTAATGTAGATTTCAGTTCGCTAAGTTATGAAAATGCATGTTTTGGCTATAATCTTCCGTAAATCAAGGGCGAAAACCAATTATTTGTCCCAAAAGAAGGTGTTTTAAGTATATATCTGCATTTCTAAATTAGATTTGGGTACAATAAGAGGCGAAAAAGCAGATTCTGACTAAGATTTTATCGAAATCGGCAACTAATTGACTCAGAATGGTTGCCTTACGTCGAAATTTTTTTTACGTCTTTAAAGAAACGACCCTGTCTACGACTTTCCTTTACAAAAATGCGAATATCTTGCCAAGTACGCACTCTGGACAAAGCGACGTACAATTGACCGTGAGCAAAACACGGGACGTTGAGACACAAACCGACTCGCGAAAGAGTCTGTCCTTGCGCTTTGTTGATAGTAATTGCGTGCGCCAACTTAATCGGAAATTGTTTTCTATAAAATGTGCCGCCGCCCGGTAGCAATGGCGTTTCTTTTTCCTCTAAAACGAATTGTTTTCTGATAATGACACATTTACGGCCCTGAAATTGACCGGAAACGATGCGGCCGACTATCACGTCATCGCCCATCTCCAAAACGATCATTCTCTGTCCGTTACAAAAACCCCTCCGCACGTTAAGATTTACCAAAAGGACTACCACCGAACCGATCTTCAAAGTCAACCGATGTGGCGGTAGTCCCGACAAATCTAAACTTTCGATAATTTCACTGGTGACTCCCGTCGCGAGGGGATTGGCGATTTCGTGATCGTCGGCCCCATCCTCGTTACTCTGTCTATCGTAGGAATTGGTCGCCAAAAAGACCCTCTCCGATCCTGACGGATCGGGGAAGATCTTTGAGATGATTTCGTTCAACTCCTCGACCTCGCTGTTCACGGGACAAAGGATCGACAGGAGGCCCAATCGCTCGGCTAATTCCAAGAATCGCTCGTTCGTCCCGGGAAGAGCGAGCATCGATTCGAAGACGTCCCCGTAAACAAAGTCGACGAGTTGTTCGCGCGATTTGACAATTAATTTGGAAGGAACGAACAGACAGTTATCGGAAATCGGTTCGCGTCCGTTGTCCGAAACGATTCTTTCCCCGTCGCCTACTCTCCTGATGAAATTCGACCATTCCACCTCTTGCGGATGAACACGCATGTTTTCCGTTAACGTGCACAGTTGAAAAGTACTCCATGCCGGATGCGAAACGATGGACGCCATTCCCGCTCGCCTACCCTTGACAACGGGAAGCAACTGCTTGGGATCGCCGCTAAGAATAACGGTTTTCCCACCGAACGGCCGTCGCGATTGACCGTATTCCCGACACACGGCATCGATCATTTCCAACATCCACGACGCCAACATAAACACCTCGTCTAACACGACGAGTCTCGCGTTTCGAATATCGTCGGCCGCCTCCGACTCGCCCACCAAATTAGAAACCGGCGTATCGTCTACGCCTCTTTCTCTAGGAATGCCGAAAGAAGAATGAATCGTAGCTGCGTTCCGGATTAACGTGGCCGCGATCCCCGTAAAAGCCGCGGATACGTACGGTAACGCGCGAAGTTCCGCCACTTCCAAAATAACGTTGACGGTCGCGGTTTTGCCGGTGCCCCCTTCGCCGGTCAAAACGAAAACGATACCGTTACGATTGCATACAGACTGTAAAACCTCGTAAACGAATCCCAGCTGTTGATCGTTGAGATCGATCAGATGCAAATTTTGATTCGGTCTCGGAACGAAAGCGAATTCCTCGAACGTAACCTCTTCCTCGTCCAAAAGTTGTTCCGCCTCCTCGTCATAAACCCAATCGGAAATCCAATCCCGAGGAAGATTAATTTTTTCCATCGAAGTGGAGCATTCGACCAGAAATCGATCTACGAAACTCCAAAGGACCGTATACCGACACGTACGGAGCACGTGCATCCTTTCGTTTAAGTCGCCCGCGCCCTCTTCGTCGATATCTCTTATTAAATCGATATGAATCCTAAGCACGTCCGCGGACATACGCCTGCACCATCTCTTAAATGAAGTTCGGTGATTCTTCGACGGATTGTACAAGAGAATTAGAGCGAACGCTTCCCTTAAATAAAACGGATGACGAAGACGATCCGCTATCCAATCTAAAATCTTGTCCGCCTCTTCGTCGTCGTCCGGGATCAATTTTAACGCTACCCAAGCGGCCTGATACGAAGGACATAAAACGCCGTTTACGGTTTTCGCGTCCACGAACGAAATCAAACCTGTCACGTTGCCCAAAATCATTCGTAGATAGTAGCGCTCCATATTCCAAGGACTCGGATAAACCGGACTCATACGACCTTAGAACGCTCGCCCCTTTCGACTACGGCCACCTCGTCCCCTTCCCTGTAAATTTCACAAGCCTCTCCTTCCAAATGCACGGGCAACTTTTCGATCGTGTGACTGATATGGAACATGCCATTTCCCAAGATGCGATAGACCGCCTCGTGCGGTCCGATATATCTCATTTTAAGGAATGCCGCTGCCTCGTTCCAATCGATCGTACCGGTGGTCGTATTCACTTGCATCTCAACGCATTGGATGTTCGCTACGTCTAACCCCTTATTGACGTAGGCGTTAATGTATCGACACACCTGGATCGGGTTTCCGACGCAAAGTTCCAAATTCGTTGCCGACGAAACGATTTTGTTGCCTGTTAAAAAAGCAAACAACCGGAGGACGTCTGTAAAGAATTTGCTTCTCGATCTTGAAAACGGTGCTGTTTCGGATATTTCCACCGGCATCGATCGACAACGGTCCAGCAAGGCGGTCCTCTGACCCTCGAATTTTCGACATCTATCTCCCCCTCTTGTTCCTCCTCCTCGTCATTGTCGTCGATTTCCTGTTCGACGTTTTCCGGTTCGATATCGCACTTGTTATGTATAGTTATATATATATATATATATATATATATATATATATATATATATATATATATATATATATATATATATATATATATATATATATATATAAGTATATATAGGTTTTCCTTTGTCATTTTAAACAGATTCCAGTCAAAATCGGCTTCTTCGACTCATATCGTACCTAAAACCGCATCAAAACTGCAAATATCAGTTTAAACTATCATTTTTTGATACAAACAGTTATATATTCATGTCAATATCATTCCAATTCTAGTCAAAATCGGCGTCTTTGGGCATTTTAGTAACGAAAACCTTAATAAACTATTAGATTTCGACGTAAGGCAACCATTCTGAGTCAAATAGTTTCCGATTTCGATAAAATCTTAGTCAGAATCTGCTTTTTCGCCTCTTATTGTACCCAAATCTACCTTAGAAATGCAGATATATACTTAAAACACGTTCTTTTGGGACAAATAATTGGTTTTCGCCCTTGATTTACGGAAGATTATAGCCAAAACATGCATTTTCATAACTTAGCGAACTGAAATCTACATTAAAACTGCAGATAACTACTTAAAAATTCACTTCCTTGAATTGATAATAGGTTTTTCTTTGTCATTTTAAACAGATTCCAGTCAAAATCGGCTTCTTCGACTCATATCGTACCTAAAACCGCATCAAAACTGCAAATATCAGTTTAAACTATCATTTTTTGATACACACAGTTATATATTCATGTCAATATCTTTCATATTCTAGTCAAAATCGGCGTCTTTGGGCATTTTAGTAACGAAAACCTTAATAAACTATTAGATTTCGACGTAAGGCAACCTTTCTGGGTCAAATAGTTGCCGATTTCGATAAAATCTTAGTCAGAATCTGCTTTTTCGCCTCTTATTGTACCCAAATCTACCTTAGAAATGCAGATATATACTTAAAACACCTTCTTTTGGGACAAATAATTGGTTTTCGCCCTTGATTTACGGAAGATTATAGCCAAAACATCGAGCGGAGTGATAAGTTTAATTTCTGTTCAAAATGGGCGGTGTCTTTAGCGCAGTTTGATAGTGCATATAGTCGATTTATTACTTTTTGGCACTCCTTTGTGTGTATACGTAGTGCAATTTATTCTTTTAAAAGAAGTTACAGCATTGAATTGGCTCTTTTTCAAAACAGTTATGGAGTATAAATGAAGAAAATTAAACTCGGCTTGATAAGTAATTGGTATTTTTAAATATTAGTTTTTTCTTATTTAGTTTAAAGCAACTTAATTATATAATTTTTTCGTAAACAAATGGGATAGAATTTTTGATATTTTGGAGAATGGAATCAATGACTTCGTAAATATTCGTAAGTTGATTAAGGATATCTTTAATAAAGATAGAATTTTCTCTGCTTGCATATTAGGTAGCTAATTTGGTTTATTTTAGAAGCTAATAACTTTTCATTGTGGCTAATATTTTGGATTGCTCGGTTAAATTTTTGAATTATATCTAAGGATATTGTATTTTCTTTTATAATATTTGCTGATAACGTTTTTTGATTCGCTTGCAATTCGCCAATCAATTTTTCGAACCTTCCTCCATCGTTTGCGTCTAAGTTACCGGTTATTGATTTAAAAAATGGCACATCAAAAGAAATAGTTCTACTTTCAAACAGATTTAGCCCTGGTCTGTCAATTAAGGCGCCTGACGAGAAATCAGATTCTCCATGGCAGCGTAGGTTCGAAACCTATCTACTGCAAACGGAAATTGTTTTGCTTGAAATATAATTTTTGTAATTAGCAGCTCAGTCCAGAAAATTTTGTCAATTATGGGGATTAAGTTCGAAACCTACCTACTGCAAACGGCCATTGTTTTGCTTGAAATATATATTTTTTAATTAACAGCTCAGCCCAGAATTTTTTTCAAATATCAAGATTGAGTACATAAATTTCTAAAAATATAATGGCCTTATATTTCAACGCATGGCACATCACCAGAAATAGTTCGACTTTCAAACAGATTTAGCCTTGGTCTATTGGTTAATTCGGGTGACTAGACATCAGATTCTCGATGGCAGTGTAGGTTCGAAACCTACTTACTGCAAACGGAAATTGTTTTGTTTGAAATATAATTTTTGTAATTAGCAGCTCAGTCCAGAAAATTTTGTCAATTATGGGGATTGAGTTCGAAACCTACCTACTGCAAACGGCCATTGTTTTGCTTGAAATATATATCTTTTAATTAACAGCTCAGCCCAGAAATTTTTCTCAAATATGGGGATTGAGTACATAAATTTATAAAAATATAATAGACTTATATTTCAACGCATGGCACATCACCAGAAATAGTTCGACTTTCAAACAGATTTAGCCTTGGTCTGTCGGTTAAGGCGTCTGACTAGAAATCAGATTCTCCATGGCAGCGTAGGTAGGTATCGGAGTAGGTGTGATGGTGTAAAAACAGAGTTACGCAACCCGCGCATAATTTTACGTAGGAAATAATTTAAAGACATCCGGCATATTTTTAAAAAATTAAATTTTAAATTATAAAGCCAAAGATGTAAAAACATTAGCAAATTTAAATCGAAATACTTATTTACCGCGGGGAACAATATCGCGACGTCCTGTATACAATTTAAATTCAAAGAAGAAAATAAAAATAACGAAAACGAAAGTATCGTTGACTTAAAAGAAGCGATATAATAACGAAACACATACAACCAATGTAAAGAAAATGGGACAACCTGTATGTGATTAAAAGCAAACTAGCTTTTCGGAGTACGTGTGATGGTGTGAAAACAGAGTTACCCAACCCGCGCATGATTTTAGGTAGGAAATAATTTAAGGACATCCGGTATATTTTAAAAAAACTAAATTTAAAATTATGAAGCCAGAGATGCAAAAACTTTAACAAAATTAAATCGAAATACTCATTTGCCGCGGTGAACAATATCGCGACGTCCTGTATACAATTTAAATTGAAAGAAGGAAATAAAAATAACCAACACGAAAATATCGTTCGCTCGAAACAAACGAAATAATAACGTAACACATAGAACCAATGTAAAAAAAATGGGACAACCTGTATGTGATTAAAAGCAAACTACCTTATCGAAGAACGTGTGATGGTGTAAAAACAGAGTTACGCAACCCGCGAATGATTTTAGGTAGGAAATAATTTAAGGACATCCGGTATATTTTTAAAAAATTAAATTTAAAATTATAAAGCCAGAGATGCAAAAACATTAGCAAATTTAAATCGAAATACTCATTTACCGCGGGGAACAATATCGCGACGTCCTGTATACAATTTAAATTCAAAGAAGGAAATAAAAATAACGAAAACGAAAGTATCGTTGACTCAAAAGAAGCGATATAATAACGTAACACATAGAACCAATGTAAAGAAAATGGGACAACCTGTATCTGATTAGATGCAAACATTTTTATCTGAGTATGTGTAATCGTGTGAAAACAGAGTTACGCAACCCGCGTATGATTTTACATAGGAAATAATTTAAGGATAACCGGTATATTTTTAAAAAGTTGGACATGACGCTAGAGATGTAAAAACCAATGCAAAGAAAAAAAAACACTAAAATATATTAGCGAGAGATAGTCGCAACTCGAAAACTTTTTCTTCATGTCCGGGTAGGAGCACATAGCAATAGAAATATATTTAATTACCTTAAAAAAAGAAAATCAATCACAATTAACTTTCTCGGGTGCACTTTTAAAACAAACTAAATGCAAATCTCGGTGAAGATCATCCCACCTACATTGTCACCCCCACCAATTATTTAATATTTCGCGCCTAGGATAACGATCGCTAAGATCGTCGAACGTTGCCACGTTGAGCGCAAAACGTAGTTATTAAAAATGATGCGAGTTAATTTTTGTCTTTACCAATTATGAGAATCGTCGAAATCTATCTGGAAACACTTTCAACTGCATCCCGTCTCTTTTCGTTGAATTGAAATTGATCTTTTTTTCAATAAAAATCGATATAAATCACAATGCAGGGATGCTTCTGGCAACAGTGGATGTAATTTTTGAAAAAAAAAATCGGAGAAAATGCCTTCTAAGGGTAAAGGGGGGTAAGAAGCGACCCCTTTGGGGTGAAAATTTCGTGCGTTTTTCGATCCGACGAGCCGTTTTCGAGATTTCGACATTTTCGGAAAATTTTCGAAAAAGGGCCGTATCTCGGAAACGGTGCGTCGGAAGCGAAAAATAAGCGAATTTTCGTACCGGCCTCCGCGTTATTAAGTAGGCGGACCGGCGAACTCGGCGTGGGGAATCGACTGGCAAAGTATCAAATCCAAATTTTACCCCCTCGAATTTTGTAATTTTTGAAAAAAAAAATCGGAGAAAATGTCTTCTAAGGGTAAAGGGGGTGAGAAGCGACTCCTTTGGGGTGAAAATTTTGTCCTTTTTTTGATTGGACGAACCGTTTTCGAGTTATGGCCATTTTAAAATCGAAAAAAAAAATACGAAAAAGGGCCGTATCTCGGTAACGGTGCGTCGGAGGCGAAAAGTAAGCGAATTTTCGTACCGAGCTCAATATAACGCGCGTAGAGTGCAAGTTTTAAATTTTGAATCGAGGTAGGCTCGCAATACTCTATACGATGCCGGCGGGGGTACCAAAATCAAGAAAATGGGGAAACCGATACCGGATTCCCGTAAAATGGGGTGGTAAAGCGTCCCCTATGGGACAAAAAATTGCTCGGTTTTCCCAAAAAACGAACCGTTTTCGAGTTATGGCCATTTTAAAATTGAAAAAAAAAATTCGAAAAAGGGCCGTAT